CCCCCCACACACACACACACATTTTAACACCAAAACCCCAAAACAAGGACCACTGTTGAAATAATATACCCCGCTATAAAATAGAAAGAATAGGATTATCGTTCAACAGTGGTTGAAGTTACCACTTCTAAGTATCATTTTGTGCTTCGTTGCAACTACAGAAATGTGTTTACACCAGGCCTTCTACATTTTATTAATACATGCTCTTGGATCATTGAACGGACACTTTCTTCTTCACCCTTTCGAAACGTATATTTTTGGGTCATCTTTTGATTCTACAACCACTTTGAAAATACTATTTCAAGCACAGCTTCCAAACGTACAGTCCACATAGGTATTATATATACACTAAACCTGTCCTAGACAACCACCCATTGTCAAGGAGAAAAGTGGTCATCTTAGACAGGCAATCCTATTGTCATTATATATAACATAAAGTTTAAAAAAACATGAGGGGTGGGAGGAAGTGGGAAGTGATCGTTCATACAAGTGACTGTCTGGGACAGGTGGGTGTTAGAGTAAGTTCAACTGTAGACCTATATCCCATGTGCTCGAGAATCAATTTGTGTCGCAATTCTACTCGTTACCATACTGTTTATAGAATGATCATTATATCTCCTCCTGTTCTAAATATGGAAAGTATAGCCTCCCACATCCCCTGAAGACTAGTAATCTCTCTGTCAGTGAGACAAGAAGCCATAATGTAAGTGGCACAACGCAAAAAAAAACCCAACCCTACTTCATTGTCTCTATTTGGTTTACTTATTTTGAGCAGCCATGAGAAAAAAGAGAAGGTGACAACTGAGAACTGAATAGAAAAAACAACAACATATTATCTTCGCTGGATTTACGTATTTTGAGCAGACGTGAGATTTAAAAAAAAGGAGACAACTGAGAACTGAAAAAGAAGAAACCAAAACCCAAACACATAGACACGTAAACTTCCACCTGCCCCAAACGAAACTCTCGAAATATGTCGACAGACCTAACTGTTGACGTCTCCACCAGCATGATTCATCGTTGACGGACGTCTGTTTTATATTTTGTTTGAATGTCTGACAGGGGAATCTCAACAAGTTTTCACTCAACCAATCTGCTGAACTGGCAACAGCTATGAGAGAACGTGGAAATACTGCAATCTTGTTTATAATACAGATGTATTTACGCTCTCGCCGAAACAAATTTGGATACATTCAAGAGGTAGTCTGCCAGGGCCAACCCGGGCTGAGAGGAATACAACATCCCAATAGAAAGACAGCGATACTCGATAAAAATTCTACCCGCTCAGGAATCGGAACTCGGGTCTCCTGCGTGCGACAGTGAAAGCTCCAAATACCGGGTGCCCATCACGGATGGGATCGGGTCGGGTAGGGTGAAAACAAATGCCTTTTCATTTTTAGGCAACAAGATGGGCGATTGGTTTGTGCCACGATAGCCGCTCTGCGCCCCTCGATTCGCTTTGCCCTGTTTAGTTTTAGCTTTGGTAAGAGTTTTACGGCACTTGCAACACAATAAGGTAATACATGTTTAAGTGCCAAAGATTAGGTGTTACAAGAGAGTAACAAACATAAAAAAGAAGGAGGGGAGATAGAGACGATATATTTTTTATAGGAAAGAAGGAGCAAACCACACCAGAGCATCCGCCAACCACCCACAATCTGTTTTGCAAACTGACCCGACCGGAACCGATCGTGCCCATGGGCACTGGGAATAAAATAAGTTAGGCCGCTCCACCACTGACGCCATGAGTGAGAACATGTAACAAACGATATATTATACGAAGCATTAATCGGCATTATCAACGCAACGGACATCGCCATAAGCCGCTCACTGCACATGCGCACAAACCACTATAATACGAAACACAGAACAAGGATAAGAACCGAGAAAACCGTTCCTATGGGGCGTTCTCGGTGGCAATTTTTCTCAACGTAATTGACACAGCGGAATACATGAATAACGGCCAATTATATCAAGCAATTATCCAAATGTTTTGTAGATGAACAGAACAACAAAGCAGTGTGAGTCAGAAAAGGCATTCGACTTGTGTGCATGGGTGCACGTGTTTATGCGAGCGTTTGTCTGTGTTTGTGAGTCTCTCTCTCTCTCTCTCTCTCTCTCTCTCTCTCTCTTTGCATCTCTCTCACACTTTCTGTTATCTCATTCTTTCTGTATTCATCATCATCATCATCATCATCCATCTCTCTCTCTCTCTCTCTCTCTCTCTCTCTCTCTCTCTCCCTTTCTCTCTCCCAATCATCCTCCTCTTCCTTACCCTTTATTCCCGCAAGCTATCTTCCATTAATTCTATTTCTCTCTCCCTGACTC